AAGATACTACAGATAGAGCTTTAGGCCCTTCAAGAAATGTTTTGTTGTCACAACTGTGTACCTAATCTATCCCTTAGCTACCCATCTATGCACAGTACCATTAGAAAAACCCTACAAGACTAAAGTGTTGCAGTTCAACATGGCATAGAAAGCACCAACCCTCCTGGATCTATGGGTGCTTCCATTTCAATGAGACATGGGTTTATGCTAGCAGAACACTGAGACTTCATAGTGCTCTGAGAAATAGATTTGTGCAATTCTATTTGAATGATAAAATTTTACTTTTCTTTTTGCAGTATCCCTTTGTGGGGTGGAGTCTTGATCACAATTGTGGATACCTTCTTCTTCCTCTTCTTAGATAAATATGGTAAATACTAGGCCAGAGAGAAGGGATGTTTAAGTGGTCATCTAGTTAGATATTCAAGTTTATGGGAGTTTGGTTACTGTGTTACCAATGATATACTCATACCTTGTCATGCCAACACTAATATCATTACCGTGTGTTGCCTGTATATTAGAAGATTTCTAGCTATTGTGTCATGAATGCTATGGAATTTTTTGCTATGTATTTGTCAGCAACTTTAATGGACATGCATATAAGTTAGAGTACATGTCCCCCATACAAGGTATAAGGTTATCAAGGTAGATTTTATGCTTCTAACTCTACAGTACAGTACCAAAATGAAATTTTCTCTGAAGGCAGAAGAGATGGTTCTCAAATAGAATCTAGTCCCCCACCTCCAAAATAGATTATATAACCCAGATGAGGCAGTGGCTCCAAGTGGAAAACTAAACATAAAACATGAAAAGAAGGTCAAACCAGCATTGGCCAAACCAAGACTGGCCAATCCTTGACAGAAAGTTGTATTGGTTGTGTTTTGCATCACAAAACAAGGCATTCTGGTGGTGGGCGTTCCACTTTGATTCTTCTGGAACTTAAGCTTAACCTGGCTAGCCAACTTTGAGTTGGTAGGTAGACATCAGTGGGTGTAGATGTGAGCAAACAAAGCTTTTATTTCTGAAGGTCAGCCTGTATTGTAAATCTGCATTTGTTCCTGTGTGCCCAGAATCTTTGGCTATATCAGAACAAGAAGGAGCACTCAAAGTATTATAAATATACAGAGCGATCTCATGAGAATAACACCTATTTACTTAGCACCAAGTAAAATGTTAAATACTGTTTGAAATAGCCATTAACGCAGCGTTTCCTGCTGGAAGCTCTCGGAAGTTTACCCAAAGTACTTCAGGAGGGCACTGGACTGAGAATAATCTAATTGAGAATCCCAAGGCCTCCTATGGAGAATAAACCTCTTTCTCTTTTGTCTTTCCCTGACAGGTCTTAGGAAGTTAGAAGCCTTTTTTGGCCTCCTCATTGCTATCATGGCAGTAACATTTGGTTATGAGGTAAAACATGCTCCCTCCTCCCACATGTGAGAAGTTCAACCACTCTTCCTTAGACTGGTTTAGCAATCTGAGGATTAGGATCTAACTCCTCTCACCCTCAAGCATCCAGAAGAGTGGCCTTCTCTAACTTGATACTTCCCATGTATTATTGTTAAATAATCCCCAGCAACGAAATCTGGGGAAGGAACCTGTGACTGAAAAGAATTGGGTGGGAATATCTGATCAAACTACTTTACCTTGTTATAAAAATATCACAATAAAAGAACACAGACATACTGCAAGTAATAAATCTTACTTTAAGATCAGAGGTTTATTTCATGAGCAATTAGGAACATGATCATGGGCATTTATTTCCCTGGGTGTTTTTAAATAGCAACATATACATAGAGCACTGATTATTTCAGGCTACTTGGAACCTCTTCCTCCAAATAAAGAGCACCAGAATATCTTTAAAAATCACTCCCTAGATACAAATAAGAAGGAAGAAATAGTAAACACATTTTTGTTATGAGTTTCCTGACAGCATCTAATTGCCACTGTTGGCCACTGAATATTGATCTTGAGAGGAAAAGACAATCAGGGATTGTCCCATGATCACATCTGGTGACAATAAATGCCAGAAGGAAATTTAATTAGGAGAAAAGATTTCTGTGTATTCTGGCATCAAAGCAATATCGTTGGAGCTAAGTTGGTGGAACATGATTGCTTGTGGTTTGTTCCATGTATTAAGAATTTGCCACCAGGACTCACAAATGAATTAGGCTGCAGCACATTCTGGCATCTTTCAGACAAATCAATATAAACAACAACTGTACTGACATTTTAATTCCCTTCATAGTACAGTAGCATCGTGGGAGGGGAATCTCATCTTTTCGCACTCCTTCCCTAGCCTCTGGTAAACATCTAACCTGTTTTCCCAACTCTAATTCCTCTAAACTAGTGGTGGGATTCAAATTTTTTTACTACCAGTTCTGGGAGTGTGGCTTGATGGGCGTGGCAGGGGAAGGATACTGCCGGTTCTCTGAACTACTCAAAATTTCCGCTACCAGTTCTCCAGAACTGGTGAGAACCTGCTGAATACCACCTCTGGATATAATCCCATTCCAAAGGAAAGCCATAGATGCCTCCTTGCCTTTCTCTGCATTGCCTAATCTTCCCTTCTTCTTTCTGCAGTATGTGGTTGTAAACCCTGATCAAAAAGAGGTGCTGAAAGGCATGTTCATTCCTTACTGCAAGAACTGTGGACACGAGCAGCTTCTGCAGGCTGTGGGTTTGGTTGGAGCGATCATTATGCCCCATAACATCTATTTACATTCTTCACTTGTCAAGGTTAGTGTCTAATATATAGATACTTTATTTTGGGGCATAGATCAATAGTTCCTTGAGTATTGGATAAGAAGATGTTATCCATATCTTCAAAGTTACTCATACATGTATCTGATGGTTTATGACAGTGTGATACATTTGTAATGGGTGCGAAGGCAAAGAGAATAAAACATATTCCCCGTTGTCAATATATACTATCTTGTAGTAAAACATTATTGCAATTTATGTGATATTTATTGGGGAGGAGGGGACTAGCAAAGCAAACCAGGATAGCCACCCACTGGCTAGATATAGGCCATATGTCTTGCATAGATGCTGTATCTTCTCTTTAGGTAAAATTCCTTGTTTTTAACACCTCCAACCTAATCAGTGTGAGATGGGATATGCATATTTCAAGATTTAAGATAGTACAACCAGTCCTGGTTTAGGAACTGCCTTGTTTAACAACCATTCATAGTTATGACAATCATGAAAAAGTAACTTTGCTCGTATTAATGGCCTTCACAGGTCCATAAAGCAAAGGAAAGCTGAACTAAGATCGAAAGCACAGTTGTGTTTTCACTTAGCAGCCACCTCACTGAAGGACCAAGTTGCCATTTCCAATTATGATTGCTAAATGAGGACTACCCGTAAGGGTTATGAATTAACAGAGAACAAAAATATATACTTAACTTTTTCTTCATGCTGCAGAGGAAAGAATACATTTTGCTTTCTTTCTGTAGGTAGGGAAACAACTTGGCTGAGGATAGATTTCAGGCTAATAAAGCTTGGTTCAAGCATTGAGCTAAATCACATGACTTGTTTTGGGATTTGCAAAATGGTGAATTCACTCCCTATTGTTTTTAAGCCATGGTATGTACCTTAAGAACATTGTTACTAACTTCACATCTGTAGTGATTTACTTAGCAACTGTGGCAAGAAAGCTTGTACACTGAGGCAAAACTCACTTAACAAATGTCTTAGCAACAGAAATGTGGGGCTCACTTGTGGTCATAAGTTGAGGACTATTTCAAAAGCACAATAGATTTAAAAAGACAATGTGTCGAAACTACAAAACCTAGCTGTTTCCTTCGTCTTTGGGGTCGTGCTGAGCTAGGACTCTGCTTGGATGATGGTCTCCTTTCTCATTTGGACTGCCATTTTAGGATTTCATTATTGACGTCTGGTTTATGTATTGTGGTTTTGGATTCTTTTAGGTTCTGTTGAATTTTTTTGTAAGTCATGAAGAGTGACTTTGATTGAATTGGACATTTATTTTAAATGAATAAATAAAAGTTGAAAATTGTATTAGCAGGGGATTCTTAACAGGTAGATAAAGCATTCCATTGCATGTTTTATCTACAGAAGTGAACAGAGTTGCTCAAAGTTTATCAGGAGTAATGTTTAGAGGATTAGTAACTCAGCACTTGATTATTCTACATAATACAACACTAAAATATAAAACTTAATTATGACTAGATAGCACTTTAATTTGATTTGATTAGCAACTATACATTTGAAGGAGCAACTATTTCTGAGCATATTAGATCATTTTAATCTGAGGTCTACTATTTCTTAACTCATATCAAAATCGGATTCTTAATTATTAAGTAATGGGTTTTTAATTAATTGGACCAAAGATAATTATATTTAAGGGAATACAAAATTACTTTCAAGTTACCATTCAGGCTGAAAATGAAGGAATGACATGAAAACTTATTAGAAACATTTATATGGGAAGCAAACTATTCAGTAAGTAACAGTACTTTTACAAAATATTATTTTGTACGTAAGTCAGTCCAGACAATGCTGAAACCATTAACTAAAGCATTAGTATACACTTACATTATTAAATTAATTGAGAAATATGCAGAATATCTTAATTAATCAATAATAGAAACTAACAGTAATTAATTTTAAAATGGGTAGATTTCATAAATGGGTGGTATTGGAAGGTTGTTTTTTTTTTTTTAAAAAAAGTAAAATCTAGGTATGCTGTAACAAAAATTTCTGACTGGAAACCAATAGGGTTTCTATCTATAATCAGCTGAAGAATTCTGAGAATTGAAATCTACACATCTTAAATTTGCTAAGGCTGAGAAACACTTCTTTAATCTAATAAGAGTCCCAACAGATGCCAGTATACTTTCCTGTTGCACATTTACATCATAACAAACCAGTATTTACTGTTCTACCGTCCAATAGGCAAAACAAGGTTTAAGTAATTAGCCTGTACCGAACAGTTGACAAGTCACTTCTTGTATGAATCAAGCATCCCCCTGGATCCACCCTGCAAAATACAAAGCACATCTATTTGAAAACTCAGTGTGTCTGCTTCCAAGTCTTCAGATTTGCTATGCATGCAAAGAAGTTTTAAGAAAACCTTGAAGTAACTATGCTGAAATTCAGAGAAGTTGCTTCATAGCTTGAAACCACATTGATGCTTCCTTCACATTCACAACTAAAGTCCCTTATCAAATGCACAGCCTTATTCCATATTCCATATCAATCTGGATTTGAACATGTGGTCAAACATGACTACGTAAATGCTAATCAACAGAGCATTAGGTGGAATAAGAATATTCAAAGTCTTTATATAAAAAACAAAGTATCATGTAATAAACCTAGTTGCAGATGACATAATTTTCTTGCAAATTCTGACAAAGATATTCTCTAATTACAACTTTAATACATTTCCCACAGTGACGTAACTAGAAATAAAATTTCATAAATCTTTTCTATGCGAATTAATGTTGATCAGGGTGCCGCAAAAATGCCTTTGGAAATCCACTAGTCTGCATATTAATTTAAGATGGATTTAGATATTTAGGAGTACCAGCAGTTATTAGAAAATATTGATACCAGTTTTAAAATTATAATATTTTTTGCGATAAATCAAAATAGATGTTTTGTTGTTAGAAGAGCCACCATTAAACTCGCTATTCTCTCTAAGATGTTATTCTTGTTTCAAATTTTTCCATTTTTCTGGCATACTACGTTGAAAAATCCTTTTTATGTGTGTAGTTATAATTATTTTTAAAATCTAGAATATTAACAAAACTATAATGAAAAGTAACACAGTAAATCTGACACATTACTGCAGTGTTTTCAGTTAAAATAATTAAATTTCCAAACTCAAAAGTTTAATTATCACTATACTTTTTATCACTTATAGCAATACATGCCTCCTAGATGTTAAGAAATTATTCTAAAATAGTATTCACTAAGCATTATAACATATGTGAAAGCAGTTTGTGTAATGCTCAGCCAATATTATTTTAAAGCATGTTTTACTGAAGAAGCCATGATGGTTGCACATAGCCCAAAGCCATGCTGAGCAAAAAGCAAAGCATGTGATAACTTCATGGAAAGTACAAGGACTGAAGCTGACAAGGCAAGGAACCAGCAGCATGAGAATAGACCAGCACAGTGTAAACACAGCACAGTGCCATTAACAGCGAAGCCTGAGAATCAGGCTGCAAAAAAATCTTTTAGGAGGACAGGAGAAAGAAATCCAGGGTTGAAACCCTGAGGCAACACACACAAATATATAACAAGATTCTTAAACTCAGAAGATTTTTGTCAATACTAGAATGACTTATTTGGAATAAAACCTAGCCAAACCTTGTCCTTGACTTCTCATTGCTTGGGACAGTACATTGGAGCTTCTAAACAGAGATTATTGTGAAGCATGAACCCATCCCTAGATAGGTCTGACAGATGACCCACACTCTCAAATGGCTGGATGGATTTCAGTTATCCTCCTGCACATTGTCAAGTTTTGGACACTTCTATCCCTCGCAAATGTTCTAAATACTCCCATCTTCCTCCAAACCCGTCTCCAAACAGCTCGTGGTTGTTGTCTTGTATTTGTTCTGTTGGAAGAAATATCCTTCTGGGTTCAGTTCCAAGTGAGGAAAAATACACTGGAAACATGGAGGCTGTTTGGAAATGGTGGACAGGACCACATGCCTTGGGTAAAGTAAGAAGGAAAAAGGGCAAGATGCTGAGAGTGCAATTGTTTTATACCCTCTGTTGGGATTTGAATTTGAGCTTGTATTCTGATTGGTTATCAAACTGCCATGGGGCCATGCAGGGGCGACTCTGTAAGGCTGTTCTGAGTCCCAGGCTTGGTTGAGCCTTGCTGGATGATGATGTAATGAAAGGGCTTTGGGCAATTCTTATTATAACTCTACCTGGAGTAGAACTTTGTTATGTAAAATAGACTGGCCTAGGCCAGAGTAATGGTCCATTAGCAAAGGTGGGGGTGAGCTTTTGCTTCTGAGTTTCTACTCTTTTTAGGGGAAATATTCTGTCTTTTTAATATTTCCTAGGATATTTCATTTTTCTAGGAGAGGTGTGGGTGCTAACTTCCTACAGTTCTAACAACTCAAGCTGAGCCAGCCAGCTCTTCCTCCCTAGCCTTGAATAGTGAGAGAAGGACCAGAACGGCAACCTGGCTACCAGTCAGCCTTATGCCTCTTTTTGGTCACAGCTCTCATCACCCAGACACCTTCAACTGGAAAACAGAATTTCTATCATTTGATATTTGGGGAAGTCAGGGTGGAAGATAGTTGTCTCTGCTACCTCAGGGCAATGCAGTTTGACATCAAAATGACTCCATAGCTCTGGGTGGAAATGCCCAAAGACCACCCATGTTGTCAAGGGCTACTGGGGGTTCGCAGGGGTTCAGGAGAACCCCAAACTAAGATTCTGTGCAGTCCGGAGAAACTCCAAATCCCACTCCTGGCTGGCCCCACCTACCCCACCCCGCCCCTTCCAGGAGTCCCCACATGGCCTGTTTTGGATGCAGGTAAGTGCAGGGTGCGTGCAGTAGCTCAGGGAGGGTGAAAAATGGGGCCTCCTGGGAGTTCGGGAAGGCCAGAAATGGGCCTGTTTCTGGCTTCTAGACAGCCTCCGGAGCCCAGGGAGGCTGTTTTCATTCTCTCGGAGGCTTGAGGAAAGTCTCGAGTCCGGGGAGGGCAAAAACGCACCCCCCTGCCATGGCGCAGGAGGCCGAATAGGCCATGCCCGCCATGGCCATGCCTACCCAGCAACTGGGCAGAGAATTCTTTGCTAAAATTTTTGAAGCCCATCCCTGGAGGGGGCAAGACCACCGGAACATCCTGTGGCACACATAAAGGTAGAAACCATTGCATTTTGTCCCCAACAGACCCGAGAAGTGGATCGTGCCAACCAGAAAGCAGTGAAAGAAGCAAATATGTACTTTCTGATTGAATCCACCATCGCACTCTTTGTTTCCTTCCTCATCAATCTCTTTGTCATGTCTGTGTTTGGCCAGGCGTTTTTTCAGCACACCAACCAGGAAGCGGTAAGTCCCTTTTTCTTCCCTCAGAGTCAACATTAATATCTATAGTTCCTTCCCGCCCCCCCTACATGTGGGCTTTTATTCTTTTGACCAAAGAAAATGATAGAAACAGACTTGGGGATCCTGCCTGTCCATTGGCCTAAGAGCTCTCCCAAAAGGGAACCAAAGGGGGTGAAATTTGGAGGGAGGAACGAAATATAAATATGAATCAATCAAACAATTAGGAAAGAGTCAGATTAAGCTGGAGGATATAGAGATTTTTAAAAAAAACAGGAAAGAAAATCACCCAGTGCATCCCCATGGGAGAAAAACACTTAGACAGTGGCTTACAATGTGGCTAACCCATCTATTTAAAGTGTCCTCTCTCTCTCTCCCTCTCCCTCCCTCACCCCCTCTCCCTCTCTCTTCCCTCCCAGTCATGTAAACCAGAATGGAGCTATTCTGAAAGGGTTGGGAATAATCCCAGAAGCTTGTTCTGTATGCTTTTTCTATCTTGTTTTCCCTGCTTCCCTAAAAGGGTTTAGAAAAAAAGAGAGTGAGTTATTCCTTCAGCCAAGTAGGAATAGCCCATCCTCATCCTATTTACCTACCCTAGCCCATCTGGTAGAATGTCCTATACCAGGGTCCCCAAACTTGGCAACTTTAAGACTTGTGGCTGGAGAATTCTGGGAATCGAAGTCCATAAGTCTTAAAGTTGCCAAGTTTGGAGACCTCTGTCCTATACCATGTAACAGTGATATTTCAATGACTGGGAGTCAGAGAAACAGGAGCCCAGTTGTGCAAACCAATGCAGTAAAAGCTTCTCTTTACCAGTTGTGAAGAAGGAAGAAAACTGAAAGGCAGATTTTTTGTGCGTTGCCATACAAGAGAAGTGTCCCTACCATTAAATAGAGGAATCTGGCCATTATAGGCAACAAAGGCTAGAAAAAAAAAGGGTACAAGCGACAGTAAGGTGCATAGGGACAGACCTGCGGATCCCACCTATTTATGTGAGAGTTGTAATTTGTTCTAGAGAGTTTACACAAACACAGAGAAATATAAAAGGGGATGACAAGCAATATTGGAAGAGATTAATAGCATTAAAAAGGTTTTAGGTAGAGTTACCCTACAATTTCTCAAACAGCAGGCTGGTCTTTTTATGGCAGAGCAAAGAGTGCAGGAAGTTGCTCCAAGGTGCCTGTAATAGGCCTGTTTCTAATGAAACAGTTTTGGTTTTTTTTTCTTTTGTCTTCTATAATCCAGCATGATGTCTGTGCCAATCAGAGCTTATTCTTGAATCAGAGCATTTTCCCCAACTTTCCTGAAAACAATGAGACTGTGACTGTGGATATTTTCCAAGGGGTAAGTATCCAGAAAAATGATGGCTATCAACCAAATTGGTGCTGATAGAAAACAGATAAACTGTATATATAGAACCTTCAGATGAACGAATGCTCAACTGCTTCTGTTCTCCCAATGACTTGCATTGAGAAGCAACTCACAGCCAATGCAGCCCCCATAATAATGTTTTATGGGCAAACCTAGAATGTCCATAATGACCTTGTCATCACATGCTGAGCCAGCTGAAGCTTCCAATTGGTGTGCAAGGGTTGCTTTGCATTGTAGTAGTCCAGGCATGAGTTGACAAGGGCATTAACGAAGCTTCCTTTTTCCGGAAATGGTTTTAACTGGCATGTAATCACACAAAGGGGTTTCTAGCCATGGCTTCCCCACCTGCTATTCAGAAGTGCCTCCAGATTTTGAGCCAACTTTGTCTCAGGGATTACAGCCCCATCTAGAGTTACAGATTTTCAGTTGTTTTCAGAATCAGTTGGCTTTCAGTTCTTGATTCTGCAAGTCGCCCCATCTTGCTGGGATTGAATCCGAGTCTGTATCACCCCACCTTCCAAATATACCAAATTCCAGTACATTGCATTTCTAACCAAAGACGGAGACATGCATTTAAATAGATGGCCTCTCCTAGCAGGTTCGTAAAGATATTAAACAATAGGGAGAGGAGGTCTCTATGACCTATGGTTGTCACTTCTATTGTTTTTAAATTTCCTTATCAGGAAGCCTTATAATTGATTTAAAATTCCCTCTCCTCCACTCCATCATTTTCACTTTAATTAGACTTATCTAATTACTTTCTATTTTTAGTTCTTTAGGTTGTTGCTATTGTCACTATAATGTTAGGCTTGGACAAATGAGATGGTGAGCAGCTGTGTGGGCCTTTGCAGGATGAAGTCAAAATGATTTAATGCATTTTTATTTAGTACAAAGAGCATGTCCATTGTGGAATATAAGCCATGAATGTTTGCCTTTTTCTATGCAGGGAATTATCCTAGGATGCTACTTTGGGCCCATTGCTCTCTATATCTGGGCTGTTGGAATCCTTGCAGCAGGTCAAAGTTCAACCATGACAGGAACCTATGCAGGACAGTTTGTTATGGAGGTGAGAAAATACCTGGAGACTGAGGTATAGTAAGTTGGGAAGTGGGAAGGGCTGATATTCAGCAGTGGCAACGGATGAGATAATGATGCCTGCCTATCACTAAAATAGATATAAAAGCCTTGTTAAATATAAGGCAATATAACTATAGTTTTCTTTGCTTTTAAGTTACAAAATGCAAATGAAGGAAAGAAACCTCAAAATTCTGGACTTTGTCTTTCTTCCTTTCCTTACATATATCCCCCACATAGAATGTCTTGATATGCCTTTGTCAAAGTACGTGTGAAACCAGAATTTTCCTGATTCATAGAATGTTTCTGATTGCTATTATTTCACTTAATAGCTGCTGGAATTCCAATATTCCCATTTCTCCTATCATCTTACCTGACATCTCTCACAGGTGAAATACTTCCTCTTCTCATATTTTCTCTCATGGTTTTTTCCAGCTCCATATGTCCTTTTAAGTCCAGACTTATTTCATCCTATTAGAACATCTTTTTCCCATGGCATAGCGCATACATGTTGTCCTTGAGGTGATTAAGAACTATTGGTCTAAGATTTCCTTTCCATATCTCCACTATTTTTTTCCTGCCCCAATGTTCTCTGTTCTGTCTTGCTACTTAAAGTGGTGTCCCGAATTTCGGGTTTGCTTAGCATGTCAAGCAAAACTATTAGTTAAAACCTATAGCTTTCTTTCTATATCCTTTCGGGATATCAACGGCCAGTGTGAAATAATCTACCATCAATGCTAGCAGGTTTTTTTTGGTGACTAATGCAATGCTCTGCTTTGCCTAGACAAGTCAGATCAAAGTGCTTTCATGGGCAAAGATGAATCAAGTTTTGACAGGTGGATGTGCAGAATTGATATTGGGGATTTGAAACTCATTAGACTCCGATCCAGTAGGGAGAACCCCCTCCCCAATGAGATTATTTGATCATGGCCACAGGTAATAGCACTCGAGCCATTGCCACATAATTTGCCTAACTATCATTTTAATTTCCCACAATGCTCCACAACAAAGCTACATTATAATTATTGGAGAAAATTAACATGCAGAGGTAGATTGAGTGCACAATGCCAAAAAATTACTGAGTGGATGTGCAGTATGATTGACACCACAGCAGCAGACCAAGGATACTGCTGGCCCCATATCTAAGGGCTTAACATGAGCCAGGTCTCCTCTGAATTCCGTTCTAGGGCCGTTTGAAGATGTTATATTTCACGTGGGAAGATACAGCAAAACAGAGTCTGTTGCGAAGGCACAGAAGGTGTTTTCCTGCTTACAGTCTAAGTCTCTCTTTGCTTTTATTTGTTTCCACTGTTAGATTAAGATGTTTTTTGGAAGTGAGGTTAGACCACAACTTGTACTCCATCAGAGAAGTCTTGTTATAGGTGTTAGCTTTTTTTAGATGGTGTCTGTTGCACCAAACTTTAAAAAAATCCAGAAAAGCAGTGAAAACATATCTATATATCATTAATGGGTTGATTAAAATGTACCTTTTCCAAGACAGGACAACTATAGTTTATTAGCCTCCATGGTATAATCACAATTAAAACTAGCTGAAGACATTTAATGGGACTTGGGCCAAACACTTGTGGTAAACCTGGACTACAATAAATTGCAAAGCTGCCATCTATGGTCTAATGATTGCTAATCTGCTGTTCAGAAGTGACCAGATGGATCAAAGCAACTTTGTGTTCCCCAGGAGTCCACCAAATGTTTCCAGAAACCTTGTAAAAATGGAGGAGGGACGCAATATTCTCCCACTTGATTCCATAACAACCAGCATTGAGAAGCATATGTTCTCTGTAAGCTTTATCATGATTAACACTGGTTATGTTTCCTCAGGATAAGATCTTTAAAATGGGCTCCCTCCCAAAGTCATTCTTATGCTCCACTACACCCACACAAACACAACTATTTGCCCACACTTATCTGATCCCCTAATTTGATTCACATGCTGTCCCGGTCTATGGGATGCTCTGGGCCTAATTTTAAGATGGTCTTCCCCAAGCTGACATACTCCAATTATTTTGGGCTCTGGGCCTTTCATCCCCAACCAGGATGGCCTGGGAATGCAAGCAAGGGAAGGCAGTCCTCAGCCCCATTTAGAAATAGATTAGCCAATCTTTGGGGTTTTTTTCTCAAAGAGAAAAAGATCTTTATTTGTTAGATTTACGCAGGTAGTCCTTGAATTACGATCACAACTGAGCCCAAAATTTCTGTTGCTAAGCGAGACATTTGTTAAATGAGTGTTGCCCCATTTTATGACCTGTGTTGCTACAGTTGTTAAGTGAATCATTACAGTTGTTTGGTGAATCTGGCTTCCCCACTGACGTAGCTTGTCAGAAGGTCACCAAAGAAGATCACATGACTCCAGGACACTGCAGCCGTCAAAAATATGAGTCATTTGCCAAGCATTTTGATCACGTGACCATTGGTTTTGCATCACGTGCAATGGTTTTAAGTGTGAAAAATGATCAGTTTTTTCAGTGCTGTTGTAATTTCGAACGGTCACTAAACGAACTGTTGTGAGTTGAGGACTACCTGTACTTAACCTTTTCTCCAGGAAGGGAAGGCATGCATAGAATATCTGTCTTCCCTTTTCCCCAGAACAAGTGGGGAGAGTGGGGAAGAGGCTGAGATGAGAGATAGTGGCTTAACCATTAAGCTTCCATAGGTGAAGTGGGATCTCTCTGTTTGTATGGCTCTTCCATGTGGCAACCCTAACTGCTGCTGTGCAGGGTGGGAGCCAGCAGAAAACTCTGCCACCTTAACCCAAAGCTGCTTTTTCAAGAGGCAACTGGACTTTCTGGATTTCCTTTGAAGACGTTTTTCTTCCCCATCCAAGAAACTTCTTCATGAGCTGAAGAAGCTTCTTAGATGGGGAAGCAAAATGTCTTCAAAGGAAATCCAGAAAGTCCAGTTGCCTCTTGGGGGGGGGGGAGCAGCTTTGGGACAACCATGAGCTGGATGACTGAGAATTTCCATAGACACCTGCCACCAAAGAAGTGCTGATCAAATTTCCACTCACTATCTGCTGAACAGTGGAAAAGACTAAAGAGTTTTGTCTGAGTGAGAAGTGGGAGGAAGAAGAGGGGGAAACAGGAAAAGCCTTTTTGGGTGCCAGTAACTGGTCTTCGGCTGTGGGTGCTGCAATCTGACTACTCTGGGAACAAAGAACTGGCAACAGGGGTTTTTTCTTCCCATTTCTCTCTTTCCCTCTGAAGGGAAGAGAAATTCAGGAAGAGCCAATTTCCCCCAGCAGGAGGGAAAAGGTGGGGTGGATCCAGCTTGGCAGCCAGAAGCCTCTCAGTGAAGTTGCCCACCCCACCCACTCACCTGCAGCTTGGATGCTGGAGGACCTAAGCCACAGAGTGAGAAATATATAGGAAAACATCAAGAAGTAATTTTCCACCATGAATCGCAAGGGAAGGTGGGAGAAGTAATGTCTCCTTGCTGCCAGTTTCCTGATCCTCTGGACACTGGAGAACTGACAGGTGGCTTGATTTCAGCCTTGCTCCCTTCTGTAGGGGGAAGTGGGTCTTTTGGGGCCTAGAGAATTGGCACCTCAAAAACCAGATTTCCATCCTTGCCTCCTGCTTTACTTCCACTCAAGAGAAATGGGGGAGATGGCTTTCTCTAGTCAGAAATGGCCTTGAAATCAGTGACCAGGAATCAGGAATCAATAGGAGCAAGGCAGTCCCCTTCTTCCCAAATTTACCTCAGAAGGATTCGCCGCAATGCAGCTTGTGCCAGCAGAAGTTGAAAAACAACTAGAAGTAGAACAAGGAAAGATGGGGTGAGGTTGCCATACTTGTGGAGCAAGGACGGGTGTTGTGCATTCGTGTCCTCGGGAAATGGTTAGCAGAGAGATGAGGACATTGACACTGACGATTAGGGAGCAAGAAGAAAAAGAATATTATAAAATATGGGATTTATTTTATCAATGGTTGGATATAAAATAGGAAAATGAAATATATTATAATATAAATAAAATACAATAGTAGATACAATATAATGGTAATGATATGTTACAATTGATTATTATGGAAGGAATTATAAGTTAGAATTTGTAAAACTTAAGATTGTCTCAAAAAGGACAATGTGCACATGCAACTAAAGTCTAATGATGATGTAATGATAACATAACATGACATGGAAAGTTGATTATATGAATATAAATTTAAATCTAAGAGGGAAAGACTATAGATATTATGCACAAGAAATATGTACCAACCGACGTACTGTACAAGTGAAAGAAGGTTTTATTTGTTGTTTTGTGTTTATGTTTATGTTTGTTGTCAAAAAATAAAAAAAGTTTTACAAAAAAAGAAAGGAAATGGTTAGCAGAGTGTTTTGCACTGGGGCAAGCTGGCAAACTCTTAGTGATGGCAATTGGGGTGAACCCAATGAGGCGAACCCATAACTGATGGCCGTTGGGGTCAACAGCTGTAATTTAAGCAAAGCTTTTTTTTGTCACATTTCAATATTGTATAGATTTCTTTATATGTGTGTGTGTGTGTGTGTGTGTGTTTAATTTTTTTTAACTTGGACATATCATCTTCCACTAAACAGTGTGTCATCTGGGTGCAAATGTCTCCATACTATTACAATCAAAATTTACAATACTCATTATATTGATAGTAATTCTCTAATCTTACAACATTAATAATCAACATTATAATTCTATTCATTTCTCCCTCTTAACATATCTTCTAATGAAAATATAATATTAGGTATGGTAATCTTAACAATCATATATAATAACCATCATATTGTTTACATCTCTATCTTAACATATATTCTTTATTTCACTAATCTCCATTTTTCTCACTTCTATTTTTATTCTCCAACCATCCATAAAGCAGCCCCCATGTCATATAAGATTCAGTTTGTTCTTTCTCCTTTATAGCAAGTGTTAATCTGTTCATTTCTGCAAGGTTTCAATACATTTATAGCAGGCAAGATCCCCTTTTGGCTGGAGAGTGGTGTGTGGGGAGATGTGATCTGCAGATGAGGACAGAGAATGGTTACAAGGATTCTTGTGACTATTAAAAGCATCAAGAACCAAGCAGAAGACTCTTGCTTAATCTCTCCCATTGTTCTGATTGTTCTCTCCACTTCTAGCCAGCGGTGCTTTTCCAGTGTTCTGTTCTGAGCCGATTCTTCCATGAGGGCATGTGTATGATTCAACAGGCTATCCATTTCTGCATTTAAAAAAAAAACTGAAACAGGTTCAAAAGAGTCAGTCCTCTTATGAAATACTCATCTTTTCTGCTTCTTAGCCAACTAGCAAATTGCTTATTCTTTTAAAGCACCAATTTGATCTCTGAGAAATGCTCTGTCACTAGCAATGGCCACTATGATAGAATAACCCTTGCATAACTCTCTACATTCCAAATATAGTCAAATAATTCAACATTTTGCTTTTTAAAAAAAGAATGTATATTTTTTGCAATAATTTAAATTGACCACTAGGTTGCAATCTTTTTTTCAAAATAGTTGCCATTCAGTTAGAGATTAACTGTGTTTGAAATTGCTGTTCCTTCTACTGGCCTTCAACTATTTATTTATTTTCTCTTTATTTGATTTGTCAATCACTTACAAGATAATAGGTATAAGTATAAACATGAGTAAGAATACAGGAAATAGGTATGAATAAATGGGGACAATAGGGCAGCGACGGCAGGCATGATTGTGCACTTATGCACACCCCTTACAGACCTCTTAGGAATAGGGTGAGGTCAATAGTGGATAATTTAAGGTTAAAGGATAGTTTAAGGTTAAATTAAACTACTCACTCATAATTGTGATTTTTTTTTTAAATGCCCAGGCAGCATCATTTTTCTGTTTGGCACCCGTGATGCTGCTTTTATCTCAACCCCAGTCCATATCTGAGACTAGCTTAAGTAGTTCTTAGCTGTATCTATGACTTAAACAAATGTTTTTCTTCTTATTCTGACACCATCCTAGAGATGGCCTCACGTTATGCAAAAGAGGTTAAACTTGGATTTTTTTTCAGATGACTAAGGGAGGGGGATTTTTGATAAGTATAGCAGGACTACAAATGACTGATAGTAGCTTGACCTTTATAAAACTCTCTCTTTTTATTTCCTGCAGGGTTTTTTGCAACTGCGCTGGTCTCGCTTTGCCCGTGTGGTCTTCACTCGTTCCTTTGCCATTCTTCCCACTGTCTTTGTTGCTGCCTTCAGGAACGTAGGAGACTTAACAGGCCTCAACGACCTCCTAAATGTACTCCAGAGCATCCTGGTGAGTTATTAATCCAGTAACAGCCCTCTCCCGAGATACAGAATAGAAATAGAAATAGAAATAGAAATAGAAATAGAAATAGAAATAGAAATAGAAATAGAAATAGAA